TTCTGTTGCTGGGACACGACACTCTGTTGCCCTAGACGAGACTCTGCTGCTGGGGACACGAGATTCTGCTGCTAGTGACACAAGACTGCGGCCGAGACACCGACGGCAGAGGACAGCTGCTGACGGACACCGGACAAGCTGCCGGACACACAGAAGACAAAGCCGATGTACAAGCAGAACTAGTGACAGGTAACTTATATCTGCTATCCTGTTCTGCCTTCTATTCCTAACACGTAACCGGGGGATATAACCAGTGTCGACGCAGATACACCCAAGGTTATGGCAGTTTATAAATTGATTTTCATGGCCAATGCGTTACCGCCCTTTTACGTCCTTCAAACTGCCCTACCCTTTTTTGCCCCAGTTCCCCTTTAACATCCATACCTATCAAATGTCTTCTCCAGGAAGGTCGTACAAAGATTCTTTGTAGAATTAGGGGGTGGTTGTCGTTCCATATGTTTATAGGAGAGCCCCTCTCCAAGCTAGTGCTGTGTTGCCACCAGAATACGGCAGCAAACGAAGCATAATTGCCGACATTTCATAATTCTGCCCAAGAAACTCCTCAGTCAGCCAATCGTGTCATGGCTCACGTCGTGGATGCCCACACTGTCTTTAAGCGGTCTAGTCTTGGCGAAAAGGACGTCCTTTCTATCCTCGCCGATTCTTCAAACACCCCAAAATTCCTCAAGCGAAAACGGCAAAGAAGCGGCTTTCACCGAATACGTTATTCTTGAAAAAAAGAGGTTATCGACAGAATTTTCAACTAATGTATAATACTGAAAGCCGACAAAATGAGCTAAAACATTTTAAAACATTACTATTCAACGAGTCCCGGAGCGGGACCTTGAGTAAGAGATAGGTGCGGCAAAATTCCAAACAATTAAAAATCTTAAGCAGGTAGAATAAAGACTGATATACCTTCATCGGTGCAAAGAGGACGAAGAAGCGCTTAGGTTCCTGACGGACAAGAGCCTTTACGACCTCATCGTCGAAACAGGAAAGGTGTTGAAGCATATACTGTGGCAGGTCCTTCTCAGCCTGCAAACTCGAGTAGACATCGAAGTTGCATTTTTCGCCATCTTGAATCGTGCCCTTGACGCATTCGCACACAGGAACTAACGGAGAATGAGAAGAATAAGAGGTGATAACTCTTCTTTTTACTAAGTGAGGTAGGCGTTTGGTGAACGACCGGCAGGTCTTCGAACAGCGCACAAAAAATACCAAAAACTACAAGGATTACACGGACACTAGACACGGACTATTTTTCAATCATCACCGGACGGATCTTTTTTTATGTATGTGTTGCGGATCTGTGCTCGCACATACTATCACCGCAATTTATAGTGGTATCTGCATCTGCGGGTTAAGTCCAAATAATAACTGTCCACGGTTGGTGAACCCTGCCTAATTAGATTGATTGCTTAAATCAGTTCGGTTGAAATTCTGTCGTAAAAAGCCTAGTGCAGGTTTCCGCCACTATAGGGCCAGGAATGCGCAGCACTAGTCACCGTTAGGGCTCAACTTAACTGCGAGTGCACGCCGTCCTGACGAGTCGTTCGCACGACAAACGTCCGGTCCGCCCACACAAAGTGCAAGTGGTGACGCGCGTAGCTGCGCCCAAGTTATACGAGTCACAAAGCCAATGAAATCGCTCCCATGCTTGAGCCCACAGTCTGATTGGTCCGACTGGACACGTCTTGTACACGCGTTCGCTTGCCTTAAGTATGCTGTACTAGGTTTTCTCTAAGACTTCTAATTTTGCGCACTTCTTGTCGTGTTCTTCCTTGGGGGCTCACACAAGACGTAACATAGACGGCGATATGGCAGCTTTGGCCACGTTTACAACAGCCACACTAGGACATCAGAAGAAAAACTATTGCCTTAATTTCCAATTATTTATATCCGGGAGCATTAAAACCCCTTATTGGAACTAATTTTTCCTACGGGAGTCTTCGTATTAAAAGCATAAACGTAGATCTGATCGTTAGGACAATAATGTTTAGGGCACTTCGACTATTTCTGGTAAATGAACTCAGAGATATGAACAAAATCCCAGGATAATCTTGTTTCGAAACCTGCTTGAACACATCTATTTCGCTCGCACAGGGATGACCGTTATGAGCTTGGTGGTACTGGAAACAAGGTGACTTGCCTTTGCCGTCAAGACTGACTACATAGGATTGATGATACTGTAGCGACCTTGTTTTTCCTAGTCATGCTTTGCTCACATGCCCCGCGTGTCTTGCTCTCGTGTCCACCAGCCCGTGCACGCCACTGATTGTCAAAACCTCCGTTCAAGTTCACTCTCTAGCTGGCTCACTGGCCAACCACTTCCCAAGGCCAGTCCACAACAGGACCCTAGTGCGGGGATTGCTGACGGTCAGACACTCTCCGAGCAGACCGCTCATGGCTGGACCTGCACTCGCCTGGGAGTCACTTACCTATTACTTACATTATACTCCTGTTACACCTTATTAAATTATCTCTAACACTCTGGCATTCCACGCCTTATATTATCAACTAGTTCAGAACCGTTGGGATACGTTCTATCGTCTATTATCCGGCCAGACTACTTCGTATCCCACAATACATTTAATAGGTTGAACATGTTGAGCAACCGAATATTTTTTCCTTGCTTTACCATTCTTCCCCTTCGTTTAATGTTGGTTACCTTTATCCGACTTATTAGTGACAGACTGAAAATAATTCATTTTTTGCGTTCTCTATAAACTAAATTTTACGCTACATGCGTTAAAGTCTACCACTATCAGGTTATAAATACCCTTCCTAAAGGTATACTGTGCGATAAAAGTCGAGTATTTCAGAAATCATTTACTCTGCTTACTTGAATGTCGAAACAAAGTGTGCATTAAACTTACCTCCACGACGAATGTAGCATCTACTGAAGGGTTGGCAGATATGAGCACTGCATCTGGGTAGACAATGGAACCCGTCGCCGACGAAACCGTCTTTGCAAATGCAAGAAGTCTCCTCCTTCTGAGGCAATGCGATTTTCAGCGATAAAGGAGAAAATAGAAAAGAGAGACATTCAGAAACCACTACTTATGAATATACACACAGAAAATAGTTTGACTGTCGCGTGCAGTGAGTTAGCCTGGCCTCCAGGTATTGTTCAAAACATACATAGCGCAACTCATTTTTGGGTTCCCTCATTTTCCTCCAGTGGACCCTCCAAGTCTTTCAGCGGACTGGGTGAAATTACAGGCAGTGGCTGATAAGACACTTGTCTCTATTTAACATAGTCAAGACCCACAATTAATTAAAATCGCATGGGAAGCCACTGCACTTACACTGCGACCAAAGAAGGAATGTTTCCTTCTAATCTTGCATTCCGCAGAGGGGTGGCAGAGATTGGCACAGGCATCCGTCAGTGGTGTGACTTGTCGACAAACGCGCACTCCATCACCAAAGTATCCAGGCTTGCATTTGCAGGAGAAGCGTTTGAAGGGCCGACAGTAGGCGTTTTCAGCACAGCCACATTCGCCTTGAAGAAAAAAGCAATAAGAACAAAATTCGAGTCATATGCGTATATTCATGAACGCGCAGAGATTTACGTTTGTGTTCATGCATATCTGAAATTCGAAAACAAACAACAGAAAGACTCACCAGCCAGCCAAAGGGAGGGCGCTGTGATACCAGGCTCTAGAAGTTCGGGCAGGATACTGGTGCCATCCGAGGATGAATCATTGGAGAGCTGCCTCATCTGCTGGTAATAACACAACGTCATTATACCCGGTTCTTCAAACGGCGCAGGCATAACGTGCTCTCGTAGGAACTGGGAGCCCTCCGGGTCGGCACCCACGTAAGGATCAAGCAGGGTGGGATCCAGATAAGTGGTGACATGCTCATGCTCAATAAAGGTGCCTGGGATGCTGGAGCACAGACTGGAACCTGCGGGTAGGTACACGCCACCTGAAAACGCTGGAAGGTCCACTATGAGTTTGTGGTCCTCTCGGCAACACATCGAGTAGTAGGTCACCTTGCGACCCTCAGTGGTGTTATGCAGATTGGGGCCATAAGGTTCTCCATAGTCGGTAGCATTCCGCAGAGACTTAAGATAGCTGCGTGGTACCCGCATGACAAGCTCTTTTGAAGCATCTGTCGAGAGGGTGGAGAAGTGGTTTGTCATGTAGAAAACTTTCATATGTAGCAGAATAAAGTGTTCATCTAGAAGCTGATTAACCACTACATCGGACAGTTACGGCCAAGCAGTGAGTTAGTGTAGACACTTAGGTTAATCCGAGGGCAATAGCAGAAGTCTGGATAACATATATCTCCTTAGCATTCCATGTGAAGTTGTAATGTTTCTTTACTACAGTCCAGCAGAATTTGAAGACGCAAAGTTCATCAATTTCAGTTGGTTAAAGGTTACCTGTATTTGTCCATTCTCTCAAAATGTTTATTACTGTTAAAGGAAAGCAGGAAGCAGAAAATTTTAACAATGTCCATACGACAGCATAGCATATACATATGTTAGCATTCTCACACCTGATTAATTTTAATAACCGCCATTTTTAATAATTGAAAAGTTCAGTAGGGTATGCAGTTACTGGGATTGCTTGCAAGTGTATATCGGTCGTGTAAAGTCATTCGATTTGATTCTGACACTAGATTTCTTCCAGAAAACTGTCTTATTAATGAAAATGACCTATGCATGTATATCTTTTAACTTATATCTCCTGGTTTATTACGTCATTCCAAGAAAAGTACAGAGTAAGAGAATACCCGATAACCATAAATGACGTTATTTGCTACTGCTCATTCTCATAAAACTCGAAGAGGAATACAGTGCATAACTAAAAAGGTAAAGCTAGTAGTTCAATGATAGTATGTCACACCGTTATGCAAGTTCTCATAGAGGCTAGCTTGTTATAGTTATGTGTAAAAGAAAAAACTCACGCATCTCAGGTGGACAAATGGCTCCCATCACGATGACACAGTAGTCACCTAGTGGCCAGGATCTGCTAGCATTTGTTACTGACTGATTACTTGCATAAACATCACTCAGTCGTTGACAGAAATTCAGCTGCACCGTCATCTCTCCCTCTCCACTTGTACTGTCATCTGAGGCTGGTACACCCTCCTGTCCAAACTCGTCATCGAAGACCACGTATTCGTGCAGGACGCGTTGAAAGCCAACGGGGCAGGTGAATTTAACACGATCAGCATTGACCGCGGCCTCATCGAGGCCATTCCTGTTCACCAGAGCGGATACCTGCTCACCGCGTTTGCCAATTGGAAGGAGGTAGTTGCCCACTGGCCATGTGCGTACCTGTGTGAGCCATTCTACTGGCATGTAATGGCAGAGACTGTGAATATGCGGGTCTTCTGAGGAAAAGAGTAGGACTACGTATTTTTCCACCTAGAGGAAATAAAATATAGAAGCTAAAGATTAACCAAGATGAGACTCCGAGGGGGAAGTAAGATATTAAATGCTATATTTTAAAAATATAACTATTAATCAGATTCGGTATCAACGTCTAATAAACTGCCAATACCCTTCTGACCAACAACTTCTGATAGTAAATGCAGGCGAATCAAAAAACCCCAATATTGTTACCTGAAAAAAGAGACATAAACGCTAAGACTTTACTTAGATTATTCTCGACGGGGCGGGGGTTACGGTCGTTGCACAAAAAACTTACATGAGTGTTTTCGATTGGCAGGCAACTGAGGTCTGGTTCGTCGAATGCGCCCATAAGGAAGAAATCACCAACGAATGGGAGCTTCACGGGAGTCGTCACGTTCTGTGGATCAGTGTGGCAACAGAGTTCCGCCAGCTGTCGGGTGTATCGATGCAACCCTGAAGAGAGATAAGATAAATGCTTGCGAAGTGAACCCCATATGGAATGTTTATGGTATTCTCTCTTAAAATGATCAGAAATAGCCAATAGAGGAGAATATCTGGGTTGCAGGAAGCAGTTCAGAAGAAGAAGAAGAAGAAAAAGCGATCACTGGAACAAGAGATTCCTTCGGGAATCTGAAACGTCAGGACAATAAACCTCTTGTTACAGTGATCGCTTCTTCTTCTGATCAGAAATCCTTGCTTTGACCCAGAGTCTTCGATATAACTGCAGGAAAAAGCATTTCTAAATATGTTCTTTTCAACTAACAGTGTTACTTCCAGAAAGACGTTTGTGTATGTAAGACACGAGGAGCACGACCACCACAGTGTGCGTTCATCAACCAACGAACCACTGGTGTCGGGCAAAAACAATGACGTTGACTTCTTGACGTCCACAGGGGTCTAATGCATAATATTTTACTGATTAAATTGTGATTGTCAAACTCGGCAAGCCGATAGCTGAAGGTCATTCACAGAAGCACACGAAATCGGCAATCACGATGCCCTAACAAAACATTTTTGTGTGTCATTTTCATGCGCGAAACGCCTCTATATTAGGACACGCAGTGAAATATACTTTATTAACTGCTATATGCATTTTAATTTTATCGTATTTGGAAGTGTTGTTGAGTTATATCTGTGGATTTTCCTAATCTGTATTCTCGTTTAACGTATTGTGGAAAAATCTGATTATCG